GAGAGAGAGAGAGAGAATACAACACATTATATTATATAATACGTTATACATATGATTTATGTTTTTTTATTCATCTATTATACTATATTACAAATAGTATATATTATTGATATACTAGTTATAATTGTACTATAATATTTAAAAAATTACCCCATAATTTACTACATTTTAATTCTAGATTATTAAAGATATATATTTTTAGTTCAAGTTGAAAATGGAGTCGAATGGTATTAGATTTGTTAGGGAAATTACGAAATGGGAAACAATATCATTATTTCAACCTGACCTCTCTCAATTAATAAACGGTACGCGTATTTTATTTGCAAATTTATTTAAAGAAACGGATACATCATCTTACTAATCAATTATTATTTAATACTAGTTCTAACTGATGGACTGCAATACCATTTTGAAATTGTTGAAGTCAAATGTATTAAATGTCCCAATCTAACTGATAAACCTTTCAATCTTGTTGGAAATGGTAAGAAATTTATCAAATACTTCTCATTTTGCGTGAGAAACGCAAGTGTACATATTTCTAAAATTACAGGACTCAGCGGAAACGAGGCAATTATAGGTTGTTTTTCTACTGATGACGAACTTCGTCGAGCAACAGAGACTGCAACATGGGATTTAAAAGACTTTGCAATGCACTTTTGCAACAAGCTCTTTTTCATTGGAGGGGGTTATGCCGGAATGCCAAACCTTCCTTTCAACGGCACTGTATGTACATTATCGATGCTTAACACATAACAGAACGTATCTTCTATTATAGCACGCTAATAGTTTGTTACGTACACATAATAACTTATCGTTAATGCTGTAATTTTATTTCAATTTTACTACTTTAATAGCCGTTTTAATTTTAACTCATGCTTGCATCCATCGTACTTGTTCACCTGTGCTTGTCACGAATGTAATTTGCTGTTGCAGCTTGTTATGAATGCGACATATTCGGCACCTCAACAAATCAATAATGAGAGTGGTATTGTTTTCAAAGACACAAACAGCAATCGCATAAGAATGGAAACTTTAAACGATCCCGATTATATGATATGCTCCATGAATGGTAATTTCTTTATGAGTGAAGGCAGAGATGGAACGGTTCTCGAAGTGCGCGTTATGAAACGTAGAAAGAAACCAACACGCCAGTGTAATACGTCTGGTGATATTATAAATTTAATGATGAATTCACTCATGGCTGCTAACGTATTTAACGACTGTAGTATTGGTATGGATTTAATCAAACGTATTCAGTTAAAATTAAGAATACACCAAAAATCAAGTTAATTATAAAGCAATAGCAATAGTAGTTTTATGTTTGATGTTGCAGGCCTAGGCGGTATATTGATAATGAAGAAAGGAAGTGTAACGCATCAAGTTTTACCTGATAATGTTGAAATGAGTACATTAAAAACACCATTCGTGCTTAGTAATCATATTGAGTACCATAATTCGGAGATAAATGACCAGCCATTTCTTATAAGTTTGGGTACAATAGTCGCTGTATCAACTGCGTATCAGAATCGGGTATGTTATTAATTATTCTTAATGGTCAGCACATGAACAAATTCGAAAGAACGTTCTTAATTAGATTAATTTTTTTTCAAATTGTTCGTAATAAAACGACAAATTCTAATTTCTTAACTAATTTTATACATAGTTAAATACATTTTGTAGCATGTTTTTAAAATTGACATAGTAATTTTTCATATTTATATTAGATTATTTAAGTTAATAAAATTTATGTAATTTTTTCAATTACTTTTGTATTAAAAGTAATATTATTATCCAAATTGTAAGGCTAATGTAGCGTAAAATATAAAATTTATATCTTTCAGCTAATGCACATGCCTCACAAATTCTACTCTTTTTCAAATAATGAGAACGGGGGACAGTTTTTTAACGATATATCATCGAACGATATTGAATATATAGGATATTTCAATGCAGCAAAAGAGCTGTATGTGCCAAAGCTTATATAAATACCATGGAGTTACAATAAACAATCGTTTTTTATATCGAAATTATATTTCGTAATATTAAACCTAACATTTTTTTAATTTTCTGACAATTATCTATGTATAATAGCGATATCGCATAAATAAATCGTGCGAAAAATTTAGTCTCTGTTCGAAAAATAGTCTCTATATAAAAAATGGAAAAACGCCATAGAATAAATTATATTTTTGCGATAATTATTGATAAATGTGCCGGTAATTATAGAAATGAGATAAGTCAACAATTTTTAAAAATTGATTTTATCAATTGTTTTAAAAATTGATTTTATCAATTGATTTTATTTTGTGTTAATCCAGAAGTCGAGATAACACAAAATAAAAAATTTTCACAATTTTTGACTTAGTTTATAAATACCGGCACAAATAGAAGCAATAAGCAAAACACATTACATTGTTTCTAGCTTCTTTATTAGCAGATGTGTGAAAAGTATGTGTATAAATTTTAATACAATATTACAATTTCTAAAGTCAATTTTTAAAGTAAAAATTTATAACATTTATTATACATTATTGTATAACATTATCACGGTCCATATCAATTGTATATCAAAAATATACTTTTTTTGTATGGCGTAATTTTTTTTAAATACTTGAAAAAATAACTATAAACTACATTAAAAAATATATATTACTTTTTTAGTAAAAAACTAATTTAGACGTATGTCTAAGTTATGTCTTAGTTTTTAAAAATTTTATATATAATATGCATAACGTTTTTATGCTTATTGAAGTCTTCAAAATTTATTAATTAAATTTTAATATATTATCATGATATATATTAATTTTTTTAATTTTTGAGATCTTAAATTCTTATCACTGAAACGTTTTGCATTTTAATAATTGTAATAAATATATTTTTACTTTTTGTATTGTATCTTAGTAAGGACTTTTTTGTCGCCTTTATTTTATTAACAAACAATTGCAACTTATGATTACAGTTTCAATATTATCATTTGTTCCGATCATCATAAAATGTGCATCTGTTATGCGTTTGTGCTTAGATGTATCCGTAATAGCAAACAGATTATTGCCATACAGATATGAGATGCTTCAAAGAATAATTTTAGCAAGAAATATAAAGTATTTTTAATAACTCCCAATACATTAGATTTTTACATATGAATTTACAGAATTCTTTTACAATAAACATGACAGAAAACAAAAATTATATAATGATTGTATAAGTAATATTGATTGAAATACGCAAAAGACTATTTAATCACAGTTTTCGTATCTAAAGAATACCATTTTTATTACGATTACATCTTTTCATAAAAATGACTTTCAATTTTAAGGGAGAAATATGCGTTATTGAAAAAATGTATTGTAGAAAATGTTTTGTCATTATGATAAATGCATGAAGTTTGTATTATAAACAAGTAAAATAATAAATGAAAGATATGTTATAACGTCATGCATTTTTTTTCACACAATCATAGTGTTTCCATGATAACAAAATAATTGTAATAGAAAATTTAAGTTACGCACGAAAACAATAAAACCGTCATTAATTGCATCTCTTAATATAAAGAGCTACCCGCGCGGATGCTAAATCAAAAACGCACAAATTGTCATAAATTGAACTGTAGTAAATATTTAAAAAATGCGATTCTTGTGCTTTTATCTGGCCACAATCTTTGTCATTGCGATAATGTATGCTTCAACAGCAAAAGTATCAGCCGCTGATGCACTCGTTTTTGTGAATGTGCGCTATACGCGCACAATCTATCTTTAAGATAAATGAAATGTATATTTTTGTTGCGGGAAAACTCGTCGTTGCGTATGTGCTTTTTAAGTGCAAAATAATCACAAAAATTCGAAGTTTAGATTAGAGTCTAGTCAGATAAAGTCAGAATCTTTTATTTCAGGTAATTAATTTGAAGGATATCATCAATTAATTACAAAAAAAATTAATCCTTTTGATACTTATTGTTAGCATAATAACGTGAAATAGTTGCTATCAGCTTAGTTTGCCAGATTTATAGATTAAGATGGCATGTAGAGATGGCATTTTCAATCAGTGTTGTTTTTATAATTAATTAACGATATCCTTCAAATGAGTAAAATGTACATTCTAACATTCTAGATTATTTCTTTTTTTTAAATATAAGATTTCAATGCGTTGCAGTAAAATTCTAGGACCACCAAATAATACGATATAAGATTCTAAGGCATAAAAATGAATAAAATGTACATTGATGTTAAAATGTTCATTTTATTCATTTTTATGCTTTAGAATCCCATATCATAACATTCGGTAGGCCTAGAACTGTAGAATGAACATTTTTTTTACTATGATACATTGAAATCTTTTATTTTAAACAAAGAAATGGTCTAAAATGTTAAAATATACATTGTGTTGATTGGTTTTCTTTTTATTTTTATCTAATTTAATTTTTGTTTTAGATTTCGACTTTGATCTTCTTTTTGCCACAAGAGGATTCAGGTCAGCTTACGCCTCCGTCCATACGTCTGGATTAGTAAAAGCAGTGACAAGCTAATGCTTCAGAACCGGCCAAAGCTTTGTCACCGACTTTAGAGATACTCGTTGTTAGGACGAAAAGCATTACTGCAGTCGTAAGTAAAAAATTACAAGTGTGCAATGTGCACAGCATTTGCCGAAATCACGAACGATATTTGCACATCAAGCTGTTTCATGTATTCGAAATTCAGAATAAAAAACGAAATAATTATAAAACAACAAAGTATAATAAATTATAAACCTTAATAAACTACGTGGAAAAATATTTTATCAGTGTAAAAAGTGTTTGTAATTTGAGAAATTAGTAAAATTCAAATCTCGTAATATACATTAATTTTTCGAAATATATAAGTTAATTTTGTGGTTTTTTTTTTTATATTTTACAATTTTACACAATTTATTATTATTTATATCTGTTGTATGAATAAACAAAGTGATACCAAACATCACAGTATGTCATGCAGCAGCATTCGATAAAGCATGCTCTGAACATGTATAACATGTATAAATATTATTAAATAATTTTTCATAACTTTACTTTTTTTTTTATATAGATAAATATTTTAGTAATATTCTCTCTACCATCGTGCAAAATTACGTATACACTTTAATTATCACTTTTCGAAAGGTTCGATCGATGCAACGAAAGTGCTACAGCCGCGGCATATTTTCCTGGCCACATAACATAGCAGCATATTCGTTATCACGCAACGACCGCAAAGTTTATATCTCCGGTGAAAGTATTATATACCTATATCGTCCATATACTCTTCTAACAACCTGCCACGATGCTCGGCATACTAAGCTCGGACAATCGCATTATTATAATTAATGCACGGCAAGTTGTTATTCAAATGAAAGGAAAGAGAAGAGCCGCCAACTCTCTCTCTCGCCGTCTGATTAAATATCCCGCTGGGTTTATACTAAATTAATTACGGACGGCCCGCGGACGAGTTGTACTTTCTACGAAATTCATGGCCCTCTCATTATCGTGGCACGTCGCCGAACTTGGAACTACCACCGAAAAACTGACAGCGAAAATTAAACACGTACTTCCACGGTTGAAACGAGAATGAGTAAAGCTATTTTAAAGTTTTGAAAAGTCTATAATTAATCTCTAATGTGTAGTTATATGAAAATTCTCTTACCTTGGCCGACGCGTTGGACTAGTGTCACCATCGCACGATTCCGTAGTGGACATGTTGATTTCTACAACACGCAAAAATATTCTTTTTTTAAAGAAACTGTATGAACTGTATACATTAAATTAAATACATTGTATTTAAAAATTGAAATTGAAAAAAAAATAATTGCACCTGTGATATACTTCGTTTAGCAATTTAAAAAATTCAATAATGTTATCATTTTATAATGCATAACGATTTTCTCCTGTGAAAATATCGGTTGTTAAATAAATTATAAATTCCACGTGACCGGATTCCAGAAACTGGATATTCCATTGACATAATTTTTTGTCGACTGGAAATTTTGCTCAAATATTAATAAAGCCGCGTAATTATTTTTGCCATTTATTTGCCAAATAATTTGTTCAAATTCTGTTTATGTTGTAAAATCCAATTAAACTGCAATTTATTTTAATTCTATCTATCAAATTTAAGTTCTCTTGAATATATATAATAATTCTAATATATATTTTTAATTAATTTTCGATATTAATTAAATTTATAAAAACAAAGCATTTGAATAAATTTGTATCTGTAGCTCTTTCAAATTTTACTTCAGAAAAAAACGAATACACATCAAGAAAGTTTGGGCAAACGTCGTAAAAAATATAACAGTAGAAATCATGAGCATTGTAGTCTTCGCAAGGTGTGAATGCGCTGCAGTGCAGATATACGATCGGCAACAAAATAATTTATGGTCATCATTTGTTACGACAAGCATGTCCAATCGCGTGCATCGGCTGCGCGATATGCGGTTTCGAATCAATATAAATGCGATATCACGCACATCTGACCGCTCCGCTCGACAAGATTGGCCCTTTAACCAAATGATCGGGTTTGTAAACGATGACAGCACCGACTTTACTTCTCTGTATGTCAAGTGAATACGCTATTCAATTTCCTTTCATGTTCCTATCCCAGCATACATAAGCCTTTCATATTTAGCCGAGAGAGAGAGAGAGACTCAGCCCTACCCAGTCTCTAATCTGCCCAACCGAGATCGATCTGCCACCCCGTTGCACTTCCGTTTCAAATTCTACCATCCGTCGTCACGCGGTTCTCATTTCGTCGTTTGAAAGTAAACCGGAGTTTGTTTTTGCAAAGGGGAGACGCGCGCGGCGGTGGTTAATCGCAAATAAGTTACGACAGTTTTTCCTTGATGAATCACTCAAAAGTTTCTGTCCACCTTCACCGTTTGCGAAATTGCTGCAATAAATTATATCGTTACTATTAAATAAAATAATTTAATAGTGTTAGCAATTTTATTTTTTCTCTATAAATAATTTATTTAAAAAGGCGTCTTCATACATGAGTGAGAAAAAGTATTTTTTTTTTTAAATTTACAATTGTGTAAAAATTCACTCACAAGTGCATATAACACGCATTATGCATTCTAAAATCGATAAAACGAAAACGCTGAAGAACTTTCATGTGGTTTTACGATAAGAATCTCGTGAATGTGTTCCCACGACCGAATCTTTACGACCGTCGTCTGACGTGGCGCGACCAGAAGAGAAAGGAAAAAAGACTTTAATCACAAAGAACCGTTTTACTTGTGTAGCTTTTCGCTTTTTATGAAGCTAACTTTAGCAGGAAAGTAATTTCCATCAGCGTACGATTGCGTAAACGAGAAAAAAGATCGTTGGAATTCTGTCGGAGGCGCCTTAGCCACTTTTCATTATACAGCTACTTTAGCGATCGCTTGTGGACTGTCAAGGATATTGCGCGTGAAAACGCGCTGCCTCGAAAATCAGTACTGTATTCGTCTCTTCACCTTATCTTATCTTCTTTCACCCTTTCCCTTTCTTTCTCTCTCTCTTCCTCTCTCCATTCTCCCTATCGTTAACTTTTACTATATTGTATAGCATGCTTGCTCCAGAATTGACAAAAATAAGCTTATAAGCTCTTTAAGAAATTTACAGTCAATTTTTGTCAGCGATAAAGAAAAAGAGATATCGAGATATTAATAATTTTCGAGCTATAAGCAATCGAGAATGAAAAGCTTTTTCCGAATTAGTTCCAACATGCTAAAAATAATAAATGATGTAAGACTATTTTTATATATTTCTTCTCACTTAATATGTGAATTTATTAAATTATTAAGATATATAGAATATTGAAAAATTCAAAAGTTATGACAAATGACAAAATTGTTTTTTCTTAAAAAAAAATTTGTATCACATGTTATTATCGTCAATATTTTTATATCATTTTTATATTATTTTTATATTATTATTTATTTATATAAATTGGAATAACAAAAAAATGAACAACCCCGAGCTATTCTCTCTTCTTGAATATTTCTTTTTAAATTCCATCCCGCGCGGACGTTGCGCGTGCGATTGATTTGTTTTCCCTGTCTCTTCCCGGTGTAAATTTCGCCGCGAAGACCTCTGTAGAATTTATTAAACCTTGATCGTTACAATGTATTTTAATTTTCCAAGAATCATATAATTCGCAATCAATATGGCACGTGTAATATTGGATAATAAATGAAAACATAAATTTTACATTTAATATCGAATAACCGATAACATGTATCGCGCTTTCGAAAGTGAAGCGATACGCTTACGTTACATATCGTTCTTGCAAATTTAATTCTACGCTACGAGCGAGGACGGACGGCCGTGTTTAATATTTAACTGTATTTGCACTGGCTGCATTTCGATAGAATTACCCCTCCACGTATGGTTGCAATATTCATTATCGAATGTTCAATGAGCGAAAATGTACACAGGATCGCAGATGTGTGTGTATGTGTGTGTGTGGAAATCGCATAACACGTATTCACGCGCCTTATCATTTTTGTTACATCAAAGGAAATCCTTCGACAATAGCAAATCGGCAAACAATACGTTTAATCAGCACTGGTGGCGGCCAATTAATACGCGGCATTCGCAGTAAATCTCACTTAAAAGGACAGCCGCTCTAATTAGAAATCCACCTCTCTCTAACGCATCTCCATTTAATTCACCTCTCTCTAACGTATTTTCCTCGCCTTGCGCGTGACCTGCCATAGAGGTAATTTCTTCATCGATTTGTGAGGTGCAATCGATTGCGCTATCTCCGCAACTTATACGCATTTTCTACATCTTGGAAGCTTCTCACATCTTCACTCGCTTATAATTCGTCAGAATAATAACTCGCGAGAATAACTCGATTTCGAATTGATAAAAAAACCGTAAAATGCTGATGGCACTTCTGTACATTTTGTATGTAAAAATTGTTGAACGATGTTATATCGTAAAAATTGTTGAACAATGTTATATCGTTCGAACGATATTATACGTACAGAATGTAATAACGAGTCGCGGAAGAAAACGTGTTCCGTGGCAGACAGAGCAGAACTTGGCGCAATCATGTCGTACAATGGAAGCCGTCTTAGTACCGTTTCTTCGCATCCCGTAGATTGAATCAATTTATATCGTTGACAATATTGTGCAAAGCTTTCCCCCGACTTTCGCAAACTCAATTAATTCACTCGGTCTGATAGCACCGCCTTGCAACCTTCTTAGAAGCCACTCTCGCGCTAGAAGGTCTCGCAATCTATCGTTGTTCGAATTCGCAAAAAGAAACCGGGAAAAGAAGTGGCGAGCGCTGAAAATATTCTGGCTTTCCACAAAGTTAAAACTAGACTATTGCTCTCCACGGGAGAAAAAAACGAAAAAGAATTTTTTGACACCTTTTGATATAAGAAGTCTCGTATTTATATGTAAAAGAATAGAATTTTGTAACAAAATTGTACTTGACAACTTGCAAAAGGATCAAGTGAATAAAAGTCTTAGTCTCAAGTTGTAAAATACTTTGTAAAAATGAAATAACATGCATTACATATTTGCTCGATAAATTTTAAAAGAAGACTTTTAGAAAAGCTCAAGGATCTTGTTGTCTGATAATTGGGGTATCTCGAGATATTTTAAGACAAGGGTAGAGAGCTCTTGAGCCCTCACAAAGTTGATGTAACTTCTTCCCTTTCTTATCCATCACGAACAAGTTATTGTAGAAATATAAAGGCTTAATAGTGTCATTTTTAACTTCATATTTTTTCACATTTAATTATACAGCTTCAAGCAGAAAATTCGTGAGAAAATATTGAAGAGATTGAAAAAGTTGAAACCTCTTAAAACAATTATTAAATTATATTACTTAAATTTATTTAAATATGTGAGATGCTTCATTCTTCGTGAGAAAAGCAAATATGCAGTAATATTTCTCGCAAAACTTAAAGTAAATTTTTGTTAAAAGTATTATTAAAACATTAATACCTTTTAAATTCTCTCTCTACTATAAATGAAAAAATTCCCGCCAAGTTTAGAAGTGTAAAATAAATAGCAAAACCTTATTCATTATTTAATTTAAAGTAAATTTCAATTTGATGTAATCTTAGTTGGAATTTAATTATTAAAATATCGGATGTGTATTAAAATTGAAGATAAATTGTGAAAAGCGATATTTGTGAAATTTCAAGAAAACGATATCTCCACTTTTCGCCAAATTCTGAAACGGCTATATATTTCAGGCTTTCCTTGCGTACAATATGCAGATCAATGTGCTCCATTTTCAATAGATAGAGGCACTCTTGATGAAGCGCTTGTGAACGGGTGTAAGCGCTTGCAAACAGATCAAGCAGTCTGCAGTGGGAACAAATAACTTGCGATTGAATCGCTACACTGTGTACAATCCGCATTCGAAATGACGCGTGCACAATAGAAAAATAAATACCGGTAATTCCGATGTTCTCTTTCCAACGCCTATTTATTTCTCTTCTGGGAAATTATATCGAAATGCAGATGTGTCACGCAATACTCAATTTGTTCAAACGAATTATATATATCTTCAACGAATATTTTTACGCGCACACAAGCGCATCTCGAACGCTGCCCGAAATATGCCGCAACATTCCGGGATTTTATGCGAATTTATCCAGGAAGCATCATCGGAGCAAAACCGGCCGCTGCTATCAGTCGAGCAAATCCGACGGCGGAAATTTCGAACGTCCGATAGCTATCTGTATATCCGTTTATA